GGGTCCAAAGAAAGTCCTTGCTCCCCCGGTTCTGCTGATGGGTCTGCGGCATCCTCTTGCCAATCTGCTGGGATGTCATAGTCCTGAGCCTCTGATCCAAGGACTTCAGGCCTACCATCTTGATACCATGGTACCCCTAAGACCCCTATCAACAAGTGCCTTGCGGGACCTAACTGATCTTCACCCTTGCAAAGGGGACCTATAAGATCAAGACCCAAAGAGAACGCATTACTATGAGGATGTTTACGACGCATGCGCAAGTGGGACCGCAGGGAACTCTCTAGACATACCCTACAGTCTGAGCGATAGCCCAGATGATCCTTTTCGCAGTGCTCCACAAAGGCTTGATCGCCCTTCGAGAGAGCCTTGATTACAGCTTGCTCTTCATCCTCATTCACAGCCCGCTGCTGTGGAGTAGTTGACATCCAGCCAATCAGGGCCTCCCCTAGGGCTCTACACAAACCCGGCGCCGGCGCCCACTTGCCCCACAACGGACTGCGCTGAATCCGTTCACTCAAGGTACCTTCTCTACACGCAGGTTTGTACACGTCATTCCTACCATGCAAGAGGGTGTACAACTTCCACGAATTTGTGAGGATGGAGGTTGGCTTGGTTATCATGTGGCCAAAATCCGCTTGATTGAAGCAGGCTACCATCATGCCTTCGGTTTCCCCAAGGTACTGTACCTCAGGCCATGCAAAGAATGAAGGAACCTGAGCATCCACCTTTTTGTGATAGGTCATGGGGTCTTGAGGCCCTTCTAAGGCAAAGAACGTGTTACCCTCCGAGGCTTCATTGGCGATCTTGTACAGCAACAGCATTCTAAAGATAAGAATGTTTGCCTTATCTACCCTACTCTGCTCTGCCGCGCTTAGTCCTTCTAGACTAAACCTGGCCACTCCAGATCGCCCGCGCAGAGGTCGCGGCCCTCCATCCTGAATCTGGCGTAAGACGCTCAAAGTAGCACAAGGAGGACCACCCAGGACTCCAATGACTTTACCGCTTTCACACAGCTGACAAAGATACCTGTACAGGGCTCCTGATGTCATGTTAGCCCCACTGCTTATATCGATGCTGAGGACATACACGGAACTGGGAAGACTTCCAAATTCCCGGGCCTTGGTCTTGCCGGAATACAAATGGAGAACCACATGTTTGGCTTGCCTTACCTGACGGCGGATTCGCCGGTTCAATGGAACATCTTCCCCCTTTACCTCTGACCCCCACTCAGGAGGAACCTGAGCAAGCAATTCCGCCGGAGCATCTGGACTGAGGTCTCGCAACCAACGAAGGTATCCTTGATCCACGTCCTGTGACTCCACTGCCATTGGAGCAAGCTCCAACGCTTTCACAAACAAGGCCCGCTGCATAAGCCTAGCTCGCCTGTTCTCTATCTCCTTGATCAGAGAAACTGTTAGATCATGATCCAATTCAGGACATTGGTTGGTCATGACTACCGGAAGAACTCCTCTTTTGGGATGGACCACTTTACATGTACCACCTGTCCACTCCACTTCGCATCCAAGCTCCGAAACTAACACACCTAAAGGGCAAATAGGGCCGACAGGTTGTGGGGTCAATAGGGTCCCTACTGGGGTCATCTTGAGCTTCGCCTTTCCTAAGGCAAGATTTACTTCTGCATCCGCACAGTTCAGCAACTCCTGTTGACTCTCAGCGGCCCTAAGAGCATGCGTGGCACCTCCATCCAAAAGCCCCCTAGGCTTCTGCCCAGCAACCCTTAGGACTCTTGGAATGTGTGGCCCATCAAACTCCCCGTCACTGTTCGAAGAGTTTGCCTCTGATGATTGGTTTGCAACACATGACATTGCCGCAATCCGAAACCCCTTCAGGAGCTTAGCACACTCCTCCACAAGAGCTTGGGTTTGATTGTTGCTACCCGTGGTGGTAGGTCCAGACGTGGTCGCAGCAGTTTCCTGAGCCGAGCTGGCATTGGCAGCAGCTACCTGAGCACCCGCTCCTTTTTGTTTGTCTTGAGCTGCGTTTGTTTTACCCCCGCCTTTCTTACCCCCTTGAGGATTGGCTTGTTGACCCCCACCACCTGACGCAGATGAAGAAGTTGCTGACTCCCCCCTGGGAGCCTTCCCAGTACCTTTTGCCCCTTTGCTAGCATCTCCTTTTGGACGATTGCACGCCTCAACTCGATGTCCCTCTGCCCCGCAGTTGAAGCAACGCCTCATCTGAGACGCTTTGGCTCGATCATGCTCTGCAGTACAGGCGCCGCCATTTCGACAGCCACCCTTATTAAGGAAGAACCTGCACTTTCCCTTACCCTCACCCTTGGCACCGTCGTCCCTAGGGGGGTTAGGAGGAGGAGGTTCAAACCCTTTTCCCCAAGGTGTTGAGTCTCCAGTTTTGGAGCCATCCTTTCCACCCTTTTGAAACTGAGCGACCCGGCCCTTCTTCTTAACGTGGTCAAGATCAACATCAGCTCCAGACAGTGACAAAGTCTCCATCTCAGCTTGCAACAGTCGGGCATAAGCGGTGACGGACTGCAAGGTGGGGCAAAAATCAAGTTGATGTTGGGTCCTGGGTATGCTACACCTAAAACTAAGTTGTGCATGTGCATCCATAACAACCTGACAAAGTTTATCCAAGCCCGCGAGCAAAACTGCAGCGTCTGGCGTAGACACTGATAAGTCCTGAGACCGAGTTAGCCACCGATGCCATTTTCGAAGGCAATCGCTACACTCCTTCGCGGTATGCGCTTGACCAGGATCCGTGAGGTGCTGGATTAAACGTTGGCGCTCTGCCAAACCTCCAGGCTGATATGCTAGGAGAACCCGGAAAATAGCATTAGCACATGTCATGCCACGAGTAACAACTAGTTCGTCTTTGACACGGCTGGGCAGACTCTCTAGCAGCATGCCTAATGCACGGGACTCCAAACGAGCATACCTAGCATCTTGAAGCTCTAGGGGAAGATCACAAACCACCAAGGACTTTTCTAGGGGACCAGCCCGTTGCCAGTTTGCATAAGCATCCTGAGCAACCCGCGTCACCTGGGACCACCAGATGGAGCTTTTATCTGAGAGATCACCCATGATAGGCTGGACCTGGGTCAGCCAGTCTGAGGCTAACATGCATGCGTCTTCTTCTGTTGGCTCCGGCAGAAGTGGCAACTTCCACCATGTACGATCCCCCGGATTATAACCATCCCGACCCTGTCGCAATCCCAAACCACCTTCTCCCCCGGACACCACACTCTCCCCTCCCCCGTACACAGGGCTCGGCTGAATAGGCGATGCCTGCAAAGCTATGCCATCCTTGACGGAAGCAGGAGATCCAAATACAGGTGTTGGGGTACGAGGCGGAGTGCCATCTGGGACCCTAGTTCCATTAGGGGTAGTTCTACCATCACGTGGTGGA